CGAGGGAAGACAGCATAGATCCAATCTGCTAACTCGGAGAGCAGCAAGAGGAAGGCAGAGAGGCCACCGTTAAGTCCTCAGTCAGGCAGCATCAGCCCTCCCCCATCTCTCCGGAAGGCACTCCCAGCTCCGCGGGCCCCTCCCATGCCAGTGTTAGCGCTGCACCCTCAGCAGCCAGCTGTGAGCATCTGGTGCAGAGGGAGCATGTCTAATGGAGTGTTGAGAGGACGGCCTGGAGCTCGGGCCTGAGGGAAGCCATGAGCTCCTAACTGGTGTGTGTGGCCAGGGAAAGATGGCTCTCTCCTTCCCTCAAGAAGCAGCCCCATCTTCTGAAGAAGCACCCAGCCCATGCTGCTGGACAGTGCCAGCTCAGCAAGCCGAGGTAACTTCTGAAGTCTACCCTTCCTCCCTGCTGCTGAGCCAGACCCTGTGGAAGAGCTGGAGGCAGCTGATCTAGGGCTGTTGGGCCAGCAGGTGCAAGGGTCTCTAGCCACAGGGACAGAAGACTTGCCTTGTGCAACTTCGGGGCCCGAGGGTCCGAGCCCACGTCCACCACATAGACGCGGGAGGAGATGAGACTAGGGAGCATGAGCTTGTTGCGCGTCTTAGTGCTGTCTCCAAAGCAGCTGCTGCAAGTGTTCCATCCCGAGTGGTGCAGCTCATCCTTCAGGTAGGGCATGGGCAGCCTGTGGATGACCTAGAGTGGAGAGGGGCAGGAAATGCTGCTCGCCCAGGCCATGCCTCTATAGACCTGGCATCCCGGCACAGGCAGGGTCAGCTCAGCACCCTGTGCAGTGAAGAGCCTTCATTGCTATACCAAGGAGGACAAAGAAGGGTGGAGTTAGGGAACCAGGGCTGGTGGGAGTCTCAGGGGTGCCAGTGACCACACCTCACCTCACCTGGCTATACTGGGGAGACTTAGGGTTAACATCCACAGTGGCCAAATAATCTGGGGCCTCAGTGCCTGTGTTTCGGTAAATACAGGGCACGTAGACAATCTCCTCTCGGGGTCCTGGGAAGTAGAGAACAGGTTATGGTGATGGGCTGGACAGAGGCTGCCCAGGGTGAGCAAAGGGCTAAGGCTAGGCCTGAAATCCTCCAACCCTACCGTGGGGTGGGCAGAGGGAGGCTGGCTCTCAGGTGTGCAATTACCTTTCATGGCCTCCAGAGGGGTAGAGTAGCCTGGTCCACATTTCCCACATTTTGTAGCTGTGGAAACAATGGGAGCGGGTTAGCTGGAGCCTGCTCTGGAGCATGATGAGTTCTCCCTCTCTACAGCCTGTAACACACGCCTGGCAGACAAGGGCAGACTCTTGGGTCTCTACTCCAGCCCCCTCACTTTGACCTATCCCCCCGCAACCCCCCAACTCTGATGGGTGTGGGGGTGTGGTGGGAGAATGGACACTCTGGCGGGGCTTGGAGGAGGTGGGGCAGAGACTGTGTGCTCAACAGTTATGAAACTGACTTGACTCTAGCCTCAGTCAACCTGGCTGTCATAGGAACTTGGACAAACAATTACAACTCAGTTTCCACTTCATCTGTGGAAAATGGTGATGAGTGTACCACAGTGGGCTGGGCATTGCGACCACATCTATGGGGCAAAGGCAGGAGGGGCATAAGTTCAAGACTAGCCTTGCTACATAGCAAAAGACTTCGCTGGGGCGCACGCCTTTAATCCCAGCACTCTGGAGGCAGAGGCAGGCTGTGAGTTCAAGGCCAGCCTGATCAACATAGTTTTGGGACAGCCTGGGATACATAGAGAAACCTTGTCTCAAAACAACAACAAATAAGCAAAATTGAGTTAGGGAAGCTGGAGAAACGGCCCAGCGGTTCAGTGCCCACCTTGCCACTCACAGCCACCTGAAAGCTCTAGGGAGATTGTTCTGGTGAGAGATCCACCTCAGCCCTGGCACCCTGGCATCCATATACTCAGAGAGTCTGGAATGTTCTGGAGGAAGCTCCACCTCAGCCCTGGCACCCTGGCATCCATATACTCAGAGAGTCTGGAATGTTCTGGTGGAAGCCCCACCTCTCTGCCCAGACCCTGATCCCCAGAAAGTCCCGCCAAACACAGCTCCTCCCCTGGAGATGCTCAAGACCACTCCCACAGGGTATTTAAACTGCACCCCAGAAAACAGACCCGTGGTTTTTCAGTCTCTCCTACCCCTGTCTCCTCTCTGGGGGGCTGGAGAATCACCTGGGAACGCTTTACCCATCAAACCAGGGCTTTTTCTAATTCAGTCTGGTTTGGTCTGATTTGGATTGTTGTATCAGCTAAGGGGCTTACCAGAGTGCAAAAACTTTTCAGAGATCAGACCTCTAGGGCAACTTTATTGAACAGCACATACCCACACCCAGACATACACAATCATCAAAACTAAAATAAATCTTAGAGAAAAACAAAAAAATCCCAAACAAACAACTGTCGGAGGTGGCTCACTTGGGTTCAGTCCTCAATATGACAAACCCCAGGGGGCCTTTGTGAGACCTAAACCAGGTGCGCAGTCTTCCGGATGTCTGTCCTTGAAGAGGGGCTCTCAGGCTGCAGATCCCGCCAAATTTATCCAAGGCAGAGGCTGGGGACTTCCTGCATGCAGGCCTGAGTCCTGAGCCAAGCCGCGTCTGGCCACACCCTGGATTATGCAACCAATCCAGATGAGGGGAGAAGTGTTGGTGTTTGGTCAAGACTGATAACCAGATGTGTGTCCCTGGGCCACTTTGTACTTTTCTACCCACCACAGCTGTAGGGAGAGGCCCTTCCTGACCCAACAGTCTGACAAGTAAAGTCACCACAGTTACAAAACAGCCACCAGGATTCCAGCTTGAGAGTGTGGGCCAGACCTTGGAAGAGTTGAACCGGGAAGGGGCTGATGCAGATGGAAAGAAATCCTGGAGTGGAGTTCACAAGGACTGGGCACTGCCTCTGCCCAGGAGAGGGGTTGGAGAGGTGGCTCAGTGGTTAAGAGCAATGGCTGCTCTTACAGTGAACTCAGATTTGATTGCCAGCACCCTATGGTGGCTAAGAACTGTCTGTAACTCCAGCTCCAGAGTATCCGGTACCCTCTTCCAGCCTCCTCAGGCGTATAGCACACACATGGTGCACACAGATGCAAGCATTACATCCGTACAGACAAAATCAAATAAAACACGAAGAAAGCAGGTAAGGCCAGGGCAAAGCCTTCTCCTGCCGGGAGCCTCACCTCTAGAAAGCAAGGAGCAACAGCACTGTAGGGTCCAGAAACATGACTTCACCTGGAACTTACCAAGTAGCTCAGGTTAGCCTTCAACTCACCAAGATCCTTCTGCCTTAGCCTCCTCAGTACTGGGATGATGGGTGTGAGCCACCACCCATGATTTAGGGGGAGGTGAAGATAAATCAATAAAAAAGTATATTTGAACCCAGCACTCATGAGGCAGAGGCAGGAGGATCTCTCTGAGTTCAAGGTCAGCCTGATCGACATGAGTTCCAGACCCGACAGAGGAACACAGTGAGACCCTGTCTCAACCAAACCAACAAACAAAAACCCCAACAGAACAACACACACACACACACACACACACACACACACACAAAAAAAAAAAAAAAAAAAGGAAAGAAAGAAAGAAAAGAAAAAGGGGGCTCATTTTGGGGCTGGAGAGATGACTCGGGTCAAGAGCACTTGCTGCTCTTGCACAGGACCTGGGTTTGGTTCTTAGCACCCACATGGCACAACTGTCACACCTGGCTTCCACAGGCACTAGACACGAATGTGCTGCACATATAAGCATACAGGCAAATACTCATAAAATAAAAGCATCTTGAAAAGAGGAAGGAAGTGGAAGAGGCTTGTCCTGCTATCCCAGGGCTTGGTCCAGGCTGCTAGGTTGCCTGGACCACCATCTCTCTTTGTAAGGCATCCTCCAGTCCATCTTCAGCATCTCAAGCCAGGTCTCTGACATTCTGAGTTTGGGGAACCCAGAGGAAGTTCAAGTGGGTTTTCTACACCAGGCTGGTCACTGGACTCTACTGACCCAGCAAAGAGCCAGCTGTCAGGCTAGCGGGACCTCAGCATCCCTCCCAAACCTCAGCTCTCAGCCCGACACCAGGAGCCCACAGGCAAAAGGATGAGAGCTGTGGGACTCCGGAGGGGCGCCGAGACAGGTCCTCAGTGGGTCAGTGTGGCCGTTCCTGACCTCCCCAGCTGACTGGTATGGAGCAGCTTGAGAGATCTGGGCTGTGAAGGCTCTTCTGTACCTCCCAAGCAGGAGGTTGACCCAGTGTCTGTTTGCTAGGGTGACAGCCAGAGATACCCGAGTTCTTCCCAAGAATCCCCACCCCCATTGGATTTTCTCAGTTCAGAAAGATGCTCCCCTCCCTCCTCTGGCCCCTACCCTCTACTCCTGTGCCTGTCTCCTGCCCCTGCCCCCTACCCTGTCCCCTGCCCCCACCCCTGTCTCCTGCCCCTGCCCCTACCTCTGCCCCGTCTGCTGCCCCTGCCCTTGTCCCCTGCCCCTGCCAAGGCTGGGTAGGATTCCCAGACTACCATTTCTGGCAGTCCCTCTCTGCTCCTTCCTCAGAACTTAAGCTAGGCTGAGAAATACCATGCATGAATGCCTGCGTTTGAGCTGCGTATGCGCATGCCTGTCAGGTAGAGACAAAAGTCCAGTTCTCTCTTCACTGCCCTCTCCACAGTTTTGAGTCATTTCCTGGAGGGAAGAAGACCCTCTAAACTAGGGGTGAACTGCCCGTGATTTTGGGAAACCCCCTTTTCTTACCCATGTTGCCGGCTGACACTCTGGCCCCTGCAGGAGTTGCCAGGAATGGGCAGAGAGGCTCGGCAGAGACCAGTGCTGGTGTTGGAGCAGACTGCACCGGGAAGGGGCAAAGGGAGGGAATTTATGCAACCAATTGGGGGAGAGGTGGGGCAAGGGGAGGGCCGTGGCTGCCATCCAGGGTAAACTACACAGGGCTGCTGGCCAGGACGCCATCAAGTGGCCTGGCCGTTTAAGTTACAGTGTGTGTGTGTGTGTGTGTGAATGTCTGTGCCATTAGTGGGTACCTATGTATGTATTAAGTTTGTGTGCCTGTGGGTTCCCATGCACGTGCCTTTATGTTTGTGTGTGTGTGAATTTGTGTGTGCCTGTGTCTGGATGTGTATATGCTTGTGTATGTCCATGCAAGCAGGTACCGTGTGAGGGAAGTGTTTATATGTATGCAGTCACATGTTCCTGTGCTTTCAAATGCTCATCTATGTGTTCGGCCCTGGCCCGAGGTATTTTGGGGTACCCAGGGCTGTGGACCTGTTTGTTCCGACTTCGACAACCAGGGCCAGCTTTCTCTTAAGGAGGCCCTCTTTTTCCAGACATCCATGCTCCAAAAGACGCAGTCCTGCTCTCCCAGACCCCCTTCCCCATGTCTTTCGGCAGCAGCTGCCCAGCCGAGCCAAGGCCAAAAGGTGAGCCTAGACTCCCCTTTTCCCAGAACTGCTCAGGAGCCTTGAGCTTTGAAGTGGGAGACAGCCTGGTGGCTGCTATTGCTGCCAGTTACCCTGGTAAATCTCAGGGGGTGAAAGTGGACTTCCACCCCCTAGTCTCAGAGTCTGCTGCCTCTGGGGGCTGGAGGAAGGGTCAGAAAGGAGGCAACAGATGCGCCTGTCCCCAGCTGGCCTGTGACAGTCTTGGGGTGGCTCCTCTAGCTTGAAGAGGAAGTGTCTGCGCAGGTTGTTAAGCCCGTGGCTGGAACATGCAAGGGACAGGCAAACCACCACTGCTTGCCAAGGAACTCTTAGTGGCTTCTCAAAGCAACACTGAGGCCTGATCCAGTCGCCCCTTCTGGGGCTGCCCTCCATCTTAAAAAGTCGGTGTTTGAAGGGCTGCAGCAGAGAGGACTCTGGAACCCTCTCAAAGTGGTCTCCACCACAGAGCCAGGGACGCCTCTGTCCTCAGCGTGAGCCGCTTGCCCAGGGAAACCCCTGTCCGCACACTTCAGGGGATCCGACTGTCAGCAGAAGCCACCTTCCTCTTCTTAGATGAGGTGTGAGGTGAGGCTTTTGATGGACAGGGAAAAGGGTACCATTTGGACTCGAGATCACCAGTAGAAATAGCTAGAGGGCCAGTTACAAGGGAAGCCGGCCTCTGCTGAGAGGGCCTGAGCTGAAGTGATACATTGTGAAGAAAGAAGACAGAGTCCACCTGAAAGGCCTGGGAGGAGTTTCTCTGGACTAACTCACAGTGTGTAGGTGTGAGATGTAAATGCCCTGCGTGGAAGGGAAGAAAGGCAGAAGGAAGTGGGGTGGGGTCGGGAGTGGGGACAAAATAGGGCTTGGTGCGCTGGTCGTCTGTCCTTCAGATTCCTATGAGAAAGTTTATGTCCCCATGGAGAAAGTTCCTTGGCTGGCTGTGGCAGTGTACAGCTGTGATCCCAGCAAGGAGTCAAGAGGCCAGCCTGGTCTACATAGTAAATGCCAGGCTAGACCTTCTGTGGCTTCAAGGCATAAGCTTCCAAACCTGGATTTTCCAAAAGTTAATTTGAAAAGATTCAAGTGAGTGCTGGAGATAAAGCTCAATATTTAAGAGCGGTCGCTGCTCTTGCAGAGGACATAGGTCCAGTTCCCAGCACCCACATGGTGGCTCACAACCACCTGCCACTCAGATTCCAGGAAATCTGACATTCTCTTCTGGCCTCCACAGGCGCATGGTACACGCCCCTCTGTTCAGGTACAACATGTACACTAAATAAATAAATATTTTAAAAGCGATTTAAGGGGCTGGGGAAGTTCAACAGGAATGTTACTCAGCCCTTCTTGGCTCTCTGCCCTGGCATCTTCACCAGCCAGCAGACAGACAGACAGACAGCAAAGTTGACCTGCTGTGTGCAGCGGCCCCGGGGTGGCTTCCTTGTGTTCGCCATCTCTGCCCACCGCCCCTCCACGCTGCCTCTGCACAGCCTGCCTCCTCCTCCTGCTGAGATCCCCAGCCTTTTTACTTCCTCTTTCCTCTCCAGGCTTGAGCTAGAGAGTAAACAGCGTTCCCCACGGCCAGCAGCAGGGGCTGCAGATTCTCCTAACTCCCTCCCGGATCCAGTTCACCCTCCTCTAGCCCGAAGCCGACCAGAATGCTTGAGTTACTATATGTGGCAGTTAGGGACCCCGAGTGCTGGTGTCTAGAGATCGCCCAAATCTGCAAGACAGAGCGATTCCCCCCCTGGTCCTCGCAAGTCAGTAATTCCAAAAGAGGCGCTAGGGTATTTTGTTTGTCCTCGAGTCTGTTTTGACAACCAGTTCGTTCAAGGCCCTGCACTCTGACCCAGCCGGTCTTGCCAGGGTCTCCATAGCACCACTCACTCCTGCCTGCTGTTCTCTCCCTGACCTCTTGAGAGCTAAGGAGCTGTTTGAGAGGGAAGTTGTCCCGGTCGGTCCGGACAAGGGAGAGGCCGCCCAGGGAGAGAAGCCAGCTGCTCGCAGAACTACCCGGTGGTGGTGTGGGGGGCTTGGGCTTCCGGAGTTGGGATGGAATGACCTTTCCACCGCCATCAGAGGGGCTGCAGGTTCTGCTAACTCTGCTTCCCCGGAGCTGAAGGGCTCCCTCCCCAGTCTGGTTTGCCCTTCTGTAGCCAGAAACCAACCAGGCTAATTGAGCAGCCTCACAGTGGATGGCGGTGGCTAGGGAGGGCCCGAGCCGGCCCTGTGTGCGGCCGCCATGCCAGTGCCCACCCCACAGTAATGTGCACGGAGGCCAGGGGATGGTCTGTATCTGAGTCTGTTGTTTCTAACCCCAGGCCATGACAGCTTTGGAGGAGGCAGAGGGTCTAGCTAATATTGCTCATGTTCTTTGGCCCTGGGCTCTGAGAACAGGAAGTGAAAGCCCTGACTTGGGGGCACCCCGCAGGAGGTCAGGCTGCTCTTGGTACACCCCTTTCCACCCACCTCAGCCAGATTCCTTGCGCCCATTAAGCAGGTTTTAAGACCTCTGGTGGGTAAGATGGGATAATGATGAAAAACAAAACACTAATTAAACCCAGTGAAGAGAAGGGAGGGAGATGATGCGGCTGATCCCCAAGAATAACTTAAAATGACAAGACAAAAGAAAAAAAAAAAGCCTGGTGGTGCAGCCCTGCAGGAGGCTGAGGTCTGAGGACCATGAGTTCAAGGTCTAAAGAGTGTGATGCTGTTCTTGGTTGTCAACTTGACTACTTTTGGGATTAACTAAAACCCAAAAATGGAGGGGCATACCTGTGAGGGACTTTTGACTAATTTGAAGCAGGCAGATCCACTTCTAATCTGGATCTTTGAGGTAGGAAGACCTACCTTTTTTTTTTTTCTTTTTTTTTTTTTTTTCTGAGACAGAATTTCTCTGTGTAGTTTTGGTGCCTGTCCTGGATCTCACTCTGTAGACCAGGCTGGCCTCAAACTCACAGAGATCCACCTGCCTCTGCCTCCCTAGTGCTGGGATTAAAGGTGTACGCCACCACGCTGGCCAGGCTCTCTGTTGGAAGCCTATATAAAGACTTATATATATATGGAAGAAGGAAGCTTTGGTTTTGTCTGTCCGCTCTCTCTTGGGTCCTAGACTGGATAAAATGGAGAAGGCTAGTGGGCAAGCCTGCATCTCTCACTCTCCTGAACACAGTGACAATGTGACAAGTTGGCTCCTTGACTTCCCTGCCATATTTCCTTATCTTTTCTAAAGATTTATTTATGTATATGAATATTTATCAGCATATATATGCATATATACATATCTCTCTCTATATATATATGTGGTGGTTTGAAAAAAATGTCCTCCAAAGGGAGTGGCACTTTTAGGAGGTGTGGCCTTATTGGAGTGGGTGTAGCCTTGTTGGAGGAAGTATGTCACTGTGGGGGTGGGCTTTGAGGTCTCCTTTGCTCAAGTTACACCCAGTGAGACAGCCCACTTCCTATTGCCTGTGAGTCAAGATATATTAACTCTCAGCTCCTTCTCCAGCGCCATGTCTGCCTGCACGCCACCATGTCACACCATGACGATAATGGACTAAACCCCTGAAAATGCAAACCACCCCAATTCAATGTTTTTCCTTTTTAAGAGTGGCCGTGATCATGGTGTCTCTTCACAGCCATAGAAACCCTCACTAAGACTATATATTTCTGTGTATCATGTGTATGCCTAGTGCCCAAGGAAGCCAGAAGAGGGCATTGGATCCCCTAGAACTGCAATTATAGATGGCTGTGAGCCACCATGTGGGTGCTGAAACTGGACCCAGGTCCTCTGGAAGAGCAGCAAGTGCTTCTAACTGCTGAGTCATCTCTCCAGCCCCAGCCCCCAACCCCCTTTTTGCTTGTTTGTTTGTTTGTTCTTTTGTTTTCTTGAGACAGGGTTCCTCTGTGTAGTTCTGACTGTCCTGGAACTCGATTTGTAGACCAAGCTGGCCTCAAATTCACAGATCCACCTATCTCTGGCTCCCAAGTGCAGGAATTAAAGGCATGCACCATTACCACTTAGCCCTCTCTTTCCCTTTTCAAAAATTAACTAGTTAATTTAGAGTTTCTCTGTGTATCCCTGGCTGTCTCAGAACTCACCATATAGACCAGGCTGGCCTTGAACTCAGAGATCTGCTTGCGTCTGCCTGCCAATTACTGGGATTAAAGACCAGTGCCACCACCACCACCCACCTTGATTTATTTAGTTCTGTTTTGCGTGCATTGGTGTTTTGCCTGCGTGTATGTCTGCGTGTATGTGAGGGTGTTGATCCCCTGGCACTGGAGTTACAGACAGTTGTGATCTGCCATGGGGGTGCTGGGAATTGAATCCGGTCCTCTGGAAGAGCAGCCGGTGCTCTTAACCGCGGAGTCATCGTTCCAGACCAACGCTTCCAGTTCTAAAGCTGCCTTGCCGGAGTGTTTGTCACAGTAGGAGAACACGCGAGGCATCTTGTAAGAGTGAGGATCCCAGTTTGCTCCCCAGCACTGGCAAAAAACAACCAGCGTCAACTTCCGCCCACACGTGTGCCACGCCTACATACAAAGGTGCACACGTATGACCACACATACCCGTGAACACTCACACACACAACAGGATACAGGGAGAAGAAGGAGTAATTGGCTTGCATAAGCCCATTTAGTCTTTGCTATAGCATGTAGGTAAGACCATCTCCATGTTCTGGGGGGAAGCTAAGGCCCTTGACAGGGTCAAGGCCACTGGAGAGAGCAGAGCAGGATGCCTACCAGCTTCTCTGACTCCAGGACGCACAGTTCTTTTTTTTTTTTTTTTTTTTTTTAGGGGGGGGGTTGCGAGACAGGGTTTCTCTGTGTAGCTTTGCGCCTTTCCTGGAACTCACTTGGTAGACCAGGCTGGCCTCGAACTCACAGAGATCCACCTGCCTCTGCCTCCCAAGTGCTGGGATTAAAGGCGTGCGCCGCCACGGCCTGGCTGGGACGCACAGTTCTTGCAAGCTGACATGCTGTCTGTGTTTCCTTTACTTTATTTGGTTTGGGGGAGGGGGAAGGGTGGAGGGGAGCGATCCTGAAAGAATACCCAAACTATGGGGGTTTGTTTCTTGGAAGTCCCGGGACAGACAGCCTGATTCTCTGAGGGATGGAAGTGAAACAGCGGTTGTGTGCAGGACTGAGGAAGGCGATCCTCCTTAGGGGTGGAGCAGTGAGACCTGGGGAGACCTTTGTCCCCCTTCACAGCCCAAGCGCTAGCTGCTCTCACCAACAGGGGTGCTGGTGAAGCAGGGGATGATTTTCCATTGTCACTTTATATACTTTTTGTGCTTAAAAAAAAAAAAAAAATAAGCACGTGGTCCTTTTGTAAGAAAAAGCACAGGTAAACACTTTACGGGAACCATAGAAAGAAAGGCAGGGTAAGGGTGTCTGTGCTGGCCAGTTTATGTCAGCTTGACCCAAGCCAGAGTCTTTGGAGAGGAGGGACTTGCCTCTGTAAGACTGGGCTGTAGGGAAGCCTGTAGGGCATTTTCTTAATTAGTGATGGATGAGAAAGGACTCAGCTCGTTGTGGGTGGTGCCATCCTGGGCTGGTGGTCCTGGGTTCTATAAGGAAGCAGGCTGAGCAGGCCATGAGGAGCAAGTCAGTAAGCAGGAGTCTTCCAAGGCCAGTGCAGCGGCTCCTACCCCCAGTTCCTGTCCTGTTTGAGTTCTCTCGGCTTCCCTCGATGAAATGTGATTCAGGATAGTAAGCCAAATAAGCCCTTTCCTCCCCAACTTGCTTTTGGTCACGGCGTTTCCTCACAGCAGTAGTGACTGTAACTAAGACGGTGTCCGAGCACCATATTCTGGGGCTGTCTGATGTGGAAAGTGTGCAGAGGTGTGCATTCAAGTGTCTGCAGATGTCCTGATGGAGGGAAGATGCAGCTTGTTGAGGCTTGAGGTAGGCCTGGCTAGACAGGTTGAGATCTTTCCCAGCTAAGCAGCATTTGGGGCTCTGTCCTGTGCATTTTCCCTCACATTGGCAGACCAAGTCCACACCCTCAGAGGAAGGGAGCATTGGGGACTAAACCGGTTCCCTGATGTGGCTGACACCAGGCCTGGCAAGGCCTGGCTCCTGACAGTTAGCTCAGGCAACAGCCTGGGCAAACTCAGTGGAAGATAGATAGATAGATAGATAGATAGATAGATAGATAGATAGATAGATAGATAGATAGATAGATAGATAGATAGATTGATTTTTGCCTTACATTGAACTTGTTTTACCAATTTACTCAGCTGCTCACATTCACCTTGGGTTTTTTCTTTTTCCTGAACAACAGTGAGTTCATACCCTAGTGCTCGGAATAACACACAGACTCAGAGAAGCAGAAGAAAACTTCAAGATGATGCCCTCTGCCAGGCTCCTGTGAAGAGCGGGAAGCACCAGACGACCTTTTCCAGTCTCCAAATACCCAGAAATACCATCCCACCTAGCTACTGCTGGTGCTTAAACCTCACCATCTCCAGTTTCTTTCTTTGCCTTTAGGGCAGCCTCCTCTGACCTCTGGGCTGCAGGCTTATCTCTGGGGTAGCGACTCTTCAGATTCCCAGCCGCGCACGGTGGCTCGCTTTTATCAGAAGTGTGCCTCAGAGTGGGCAGCGGTGAGCAGGGGCTGTGGCCTAACGACTAAGGATGTGTTTTAAGAAGCGATTGTTGGGCTGGGGAGACCGGTCAGGTGGTGAAACCCTTGCCATACAAGCATGAGGACCGGGAGGGAATCCCCAGAACACACGTGAAGCTCGGAGCAGTGGCGTGCATCTGCGGTTCCAGTGCTTCCAAGGAGAGGTGGAAGGTGGAGACGGGGGCCTAGGCTGTTCTCAGGCAGCACCCAGAAACAGGAGACCCTGTCAAAGGAGGTGGGAGGGGGGTTGTCCCAAGGTAGTTCTCCCCCTTCCAAAAAATGTCCATGACACACACACCCAAGTTCACATACCTGAATGTGCACACACACACACACACACACACACACACACACACACACACATCATACACAAAAAGGTAGTAGAAACAATTATTGGCTGGAAGTGTGGCCCTGTGGAGGGGCACATCATGCCTGAGGCTCTGAGTTCCGTGTCCAGCACAACACAAAAAATGGGTGAAAAACATTCGCTTTATTATTGACCAGTTTACCTCTATCCATAAATAAACTTTCACAAATGAATTTATTTTCCATGTGTCAGTCATAATTTAACACTAATAAAAACTGTCATAAAGCTGCCACCCTGCTTTTATTCAGACAACCACATGAAGATTAACCAAGAGCCAGGCATGGTGACTCAGGCCTGGCTAAAGCCAGGAATCAGAGAAGATCAGGAGTTCTGGGTTATCCTCATTTATTTACACAGGGATTTTTTTTGTTTTGTTTTGTTTTTCAAGATAGGGTTTCTCTGTGTATCTCTGGCTGTCCTGGAACTCACTCTGTAGACCAGGCTGACCTCAGAGATCCTGCGTGCCTCTGCTTCCCGAGTGCTGGGGTTAAAGGCATGTGATACCAGTGCCCAGTTTACACAGGAATTTTAAGACTAGCCCAGGCTACATGAGATCCTGTCTTAAAGATACAAAACTCCTCAAACAAACAAACAAACAAAAAAACAAAGATTAATAAAAAATGTATTTTAATATAGATATTTTGATATAGTAAGTGGGAAAATGTTTACTGTCTCTTTAATTATAGTCCTTCCCTCCCTCCCTCCGTCCCTTCCTTCCTTCCTTTCTTTTTGTTGACTGAATCTCTACCCCAGGCTGATCTCAGAGTTCCTATGCAGCTGAAGATGACCTTAAACTTTTAATCCTCCTGCCTCTACTTCCTGAGTGCTGGGATTACAATTATGCATGACCAAGCCAGATTTACTCATTGCTGGGATGAAAAGGAGGACTTTCTGCACACTAGGCAAGCATTTACCAGCTGAACTCCAACCCCCGGCCCTACAGATCTCGTTTCAGTGGCAGCAAACCATCGAAGAAATATCGTAGAAATGAGTAAAGTTTGTGCTGGGGTCTGATGCGCACTGACAAAGGCGATGAATGTCTTAAATGTCTTAGACCGTGCCTGAGAACAAATAGATACCACGCGAAATGGGTTTAGTACCGTGTAACCCCACCTTTGATATTGGGCAATCTTTCTCTTGCTTTTCTTACCATTCAGTAGCTTGGGAAGTCAGTTATCCATATAATCTTACCAAGCAGTAGACTTTTTGATTTCAGAACCTTTTGTAAGAAGGTTAATAATTATCTGGTCATGGTGGTGAGTGATTGAACCTAAGCACTTGACAGGCAGAGGCAGGAGGTTTAGTTCAAGATCATTCTCAGGTGTACAATAAGTTTGAGGACAGTCTGAGCTATAGAAGACTTCATCTAAAAAAAACATAAAAGAGTTGGGTCTGGTGGCATAGGGCTGTAATAATCTCAGTTATTTGAGAGGCTGAGGCAAAGGATTGTAAGTTCAAGACCAGCCTGGGCTACAGGATGAGTTCAAGGCTAGCCTGGGCAATTTGGTGAAACTAGGTCTTGAAATAAAAGTGAAAAAGAGGACCAGGGATATAGCTCAGTGGCATATATATATGGCTCTAGCCTCCCCAG